GGGGCAGGTCAATGGCTTCACCAAAGTCTGTTTTGATTTTGTGAAGTCGAGTCTGAAATCAGCAGATTTGTGACTTTGACTCGAGTCCACACCTCAAATATCAAATACGAGCTTTTTTAATTCCACAGTTTAAATATCTAAATATTGATGTAAAAGTTCAGCCTTGTTTTCAAGAAATATTTCAAAATCATTTCTTACTTTTCAAACGTGTGGAGATGAAACAGTGACGGAGGACGAGTTATTTATTGTGAAAGCGTCAGAATGCATTGAGTCTGTTCCTACATGTCACTCTTCTTCTCCTCCGTAGAAAACACACGTTTGTTGTCGTCTGTCTCTCTCTTCCTCTCTCCATTACCTCCCACTCTTCATTCATTTTGAAGCCAAATGACGAAACACTGCACGACATGCAGACAGAATGATCAACTCAGTGTGTCTCCTGTTAACAACAACAAGAGGGTATCTTGCTTGAATACACAGTTTATAGTAAAAACTATACAAGTACAGAAAAGGACTGTAACAATTCTGAAGACCTTTTCACACTGACTCTGTATTTATCGTCAAATTTTTTGTTGAAAAATGAACTTTCAGAACAAGTTACAATTTCTGCGTTTTTTCCAAAGCCGTCAAAAGAGTTTTTGACCTCTCAGAGCCACCGTACATGCAAACATCATCACCTACAATGTCCCCTGAAAAGCTGATTGCACTTTACGACAAAACAAAGTCCAGGATGCAGAACAGCAGAATGTAAAGATTGATTTCTCATCGTCAGAAACTGAAACAAGAACTTTTAAAAGTTGAAGAATTGATGAACTTTGGCGCCTTTTCTGCATTTTCCAATTTTTGTAAAATATTAAGCAAATTGAACTTTTGGTTTTAGTTTTTTAAATGATTTATGGCGTTATAACTGCGTTATACTGCACTAAATACATGTTTCAGTACTCTCTGCTGCTAGCCGTGGTGGTGTTGTTTCCATCGAGGTGCAGGACTTTGATTTATTGCAGTGAAAAACGAGGCCACGCAGATTAAAATGTGACAGAAACAACGTCAAGCGATGATCAGCGCTGGAGGTTTGCCTTATTTTGCGTGAAGGAGGTTGTTTGAACACCGTAATTACACAGTAACATACTGTAAAAGGTTGGTATCGGTATCATGTTGCCTGCAGCTCTAATTATGAACAACTAAATGATGAAAAATGTCCGTCTCCAGCATAAAGAACATTTAGTGTCTCAGCCGCCGCTGCCTGATTCTCCCACTCATCAACCGTCTGCTTTACTGGCAGATATTTGGCGACATACATATTTTCCTGTAACGGCTCTTCATCATTCTCTCTCCAGCTAACTCTCCATCTCCTCTCAACAGTCTGAGAACATCTTATTATCCGCTGACAGCTCTCTCCCTCTCTCTCCCCCCCCCCCCCCCCCCCTGCTTTCGTCTCCTCCGGTCTAAATTTGAGAATATGTCTCGAGAACGCAACGGGATGTTGTGCGCGAGTTTTTCTGCGCGAGTCTCGCTCAAAGGACGACTCTGGCAGAGCTGCAGCCAATTATACCTCCCAGTGAGGTGGAGGAGACGGCAGCACACTTCAGTGCAGGTAGAAACATGCCGTTTCTCTGAGTCGCATCGACGGTGAGGAAAACATACCGTTACTTTACAGAACATTGATTGTTTGGTTTGTGAAAACAGTGAAAGCAGTGAGAAATAGTGGCGCAGTTACCCAAACCTCCACATTGTTACTGTTATATTAACATCATTGACATGATTGCGAATATATTTGAATTATTTAACATTATTAAAAAGGGAAAAGCTGCAGATCTGGAACCATTAAATGATAAAATGGCTAAAGGATTATGAACAAATTTTCATTTTCTATCAAATTGATTCATCGCTTTGGCTGCTCATTTTGATTTGCTCTGTCGGTAAAAATCTGTAAGTTTGTAAAGTTAATTAAAGCTGTCACAAATAAAAAGTAGAATATAGTGGAGCAGTAGAAGTAGAAAGTTGTATGACTTCTAATATTACTTCTAATGTGCAGTACTTGAGTAAATGTACTGCTCCTGGGCAGTAATAAAAATGTTCTGGTTAATCATTTCTGCAAATTTATTCATGTATTTAAAGCTTTTTCCTTAAAAAAGATGACAAAATGTAAATGCTAATGCCTTCTCCTACTGTGCTTCATTATGTTTTATATGATCAGCTCTGTCCCTCATCACTGACCGGCCATCAGCAGCACTGGGAGGAATCCACCAGAGCGCTGTGAGCAGCAAGTGAAGTGAAGTTATGGTTATGAATATTGTTCAGTAATCTAAATAAAGTGTGCCGTGGGTTTTGGTTTGGCCAGTCACAGTTAAAAAGCCCATTTTTTCATTCCCAGTGAAGGTGAAGAGAGCAGTTCTCATCAGTCTCTTCATGTTGTTTACCTCGATGTTAACTGCTCAGGAGAGAAGCTTTTTACTGCTCCATCCATCTTTCGCTTTCCCTCCTTCCTTTTCCTCCGTCCACCACAACAGGGACATAAAGTTCCCCCTAAATCTTCTCCTACGTCACCTCTCCTGCCTGGAGAAAGAAGCTTCCCTCCTAAATCCTTTGGCCTGGAACAGCAGCTTCCCGACATCTTCCCTTTAATCCATCCTTCCATCACCCTTAATGTTTTGCCGCACCAAAGCGCCTTCAAGGGGGAAAAGTCGTTCCCTTATCCCGTTCTCTGTGTTCGTAGAAGCCCCAATCCGTCCCTTTATCGTGAGCCTTTGAACACTTACGTTATGCAAAATATGTCCTGATGTTTGCAAAGTCTACACACCAAACAAAGTCTTTTATTTTTGCAAATAAAGTATCGAAAGTCGTCAAAGATCTGACTCGTATGTTTTACTTTGACAGTCCCTCATATGGCTGCTTAGCATGAACACAGTTAGCATGAATATACAACCAGCATGCTAACATGCTAACCTGTGTGTGCAACATTCTGAATGAACACAAGTAGGGTTAGCATTGTGTTTTCATTACCTTAGAATCGACATACAGAGAGGGTCCTCTTCACAGAGTCGGCCATGTTTCTACTGGAGCCCAGAACGGACAAACCAAACACTGGCTCAAGTTTTCGTGTTTTCTGCTCGTGTGTCTATTGCATTTTGCAATTCTTGCTTGCAATTACCGAAACAAAGTTTGTGTGTCATGAAAACAATCAAATAAAATGCCACTTGTTGCAAACTCCCTAAAATCTTTGATCTTCAATGTCACCAGCGCGTCAAGCCCTCTTCAGATTAAGACTAAGACCTTAGTCAGCTCTCACTTCCTGCTCTAATGCCTCCCTGTCTCCCTCAATCTATCCACCCATCATCCCGTGGCTGCTGTCCCCCCTCTCCCCGCCTCCCCCTCGCTCCGTCCTTCCACTCCAGCTTTCATCCGTCTGGCAGCACCGCTCCATCGCAGAGAGCTGGAGACAGCAGGGGACGGACAGTCGGACGGACGGAGAGAGACGGGAGATCGCCTTGGGGTTTTCCAACTCTGTTTCTTTCTCTGAGTCTATCTCATCAAATCTCCATCTCTTTCTTCACTCACCATCCCTCCAGATATCTATTTGTCTGTCTCGCCGTCCCTTTAAATCTCTCTCTCTCTCTCTCTCTCTCTCATTGTCTCACTTTGTATAAACTGACAATGTCCCTCAATTCCTCAAAGACAATTAAACGTTGTACTGCAGGAGTGTTTAACAGATAGGGCAGAAGGTTGTAGTTCGTTATCCTCAAACGGGCCATACAGAAATGAATATTATAGTCACATATAGATACTTCTAAATGCATTATATATAAATGCTACAAGCATAAAAGTACCATAATAAACACTTAATGGATATTTATAAATGGGTTTCCCTGTATGTCCACATAACGGTGTTAGACATACATGCAACACATACCGTGATCCTTAATAGCCTACCGTTAGCTTTTTACTTCTGCTGATTGTATTCACACTTTAAAAATCCTAAAAGTGGTGTTCATTGGTGGAGATTATCTTGCTGATCTAAACATGCGAGTATCATAAACGTTCTCAGCATGCAACATTTAGCATATTAGCACGTGAACGATATATGATACAACAATGACATGTTAGCATGTCAGCACATCAATGTGCCATCAACAAGTATGCCAATAGAATGTACTGTAATTAGAATATATGAACATATAATGGATATTTACCAATTACATGCAAAGTCAGGGCATCACTAAAGTCTAAAAGTATTCATGCTTAATGCTAGAAACGTCAATATTTCACTCTGTTGTACATTTCAACAATTCCATCCCGAGAGCCGGACTGCAAGTGTGGCAATAACTAAATGCAACGGTTCAGTTTCTGCTGGTATTTAATAACCAACTTTGACACCAGTGACAGTGCACATACATAATATAAACGAACGTACATATACATACACACATAGCCTACTCAGCTTGTTACTTCAAAAAGGTCTCTTCAGTCACCAATGAAAAGGCATCTAAAGAGACTTTTAAGAGCCCAACGTACTCCTCTCTAGTCACAATATCCGGGTCGGGTCCCTACCTCTTTTTGGTGGTATTTGATGGCCAGTTTGAGCTTGGCCAGGTCGTGGCACTGCCTCGGGTCCAGCTCCTCGCTCAGGTCGTTGTCTCTGTGGTTCAAGATGGTCTCCAGCTCTCTAGAACTCCTGGCCTGGTCCAGAAGGTCTTTGGCAAACCGTTTGCACTGCTGCGACAGCTCCTCATACTCCTGACGGAACTCGTTCTCCACCTGAGAGGAGGAAGTGGTAGAAAACCTTGTTACCGTTTATGATGTGTCTGTAGAGGTCGATAACTCTGACTTCCGTCGCTCAATCAAACTGCCCCAAGCTCTCAAGATTGCTGCAACATGTGCTTCTTAGAAAACTCAGAAGTAAAAGGTATTGTTACCGAAGACAAAACGTATTTTCAGCCAGATGAATGAAGCCTTGCTAAGAGTGCTCGAACTTATAGCAGAAACAAATGAGTAACAAACAATATTGGATGTTTTTTATAGCTCATCAAGTTCAGGATGTGGCGTCCCTCCAGTAGAGTTCTTGAATTAACGCCAAAGAGGACGGTAGCTGCTCCTAAAGGCTCCTGATGGACCAGCACTTTATGCGGACACTTTAAGTTGCCGTCTCATTTATTTTGACAGCAAGCCGTATATTGTGGAAATAAAGATACACAAGGGCTTTACTGGTCCAAATACATCACTGACAAGTCCCTGAGACTAAACCTTTTCTCCACTCCCGCAAGACCTCTAAGGAAAGTCCTTCGTCAGCGTCCATACCTTGCTGAGCTCTTTGAGTTCCCAGCCCAGTCTGAAGGCAGTGAGGATGGGATCTTCACTGGACAGCGCGATGAGGGAGGGCGAGGCCAGAGCCTTGTAGATGTTGAGGCGAGACCTTGAATGCCGAAGACTGTCGACCTGCAGAAGGTGACACAGAGAGACGAACAAGAGAAAGATTTAGACTTTTAAGGTTTAGAACCAACCCGTACCATATCGTACAATGATCGCCCTTTGTATACTTTGAAGAATAACAATAAAGAAATAGACAATTTTCTCCCCGATTGCCTCATTAACTTTGTTGGTCGTACAGAGGCATCAGGATGTAATTGAGACTGTTTCATAATCAGCTAAAAGTTGCTCACAGCAACTTTGATGTTAAAATACTTCATTACAAATGAAAGTCCTGCAATATTTATGGAAAATCTTTCAAAGTTAAAGTACTTGTTTTGCAGAAAATTGTCCGTTTTTGAGTGATATAATAAATTATAAATGTGTTCTAGTGTTTGCAAACTCCTTCGCTTCAAACTTGCCTTTGAGGAACGAATTAATTAAAATGTTTAAGTATTCTATTTCTATCTCTTAGGAGTGTTCTTTACAGTGTTTTGTTAAAATATTTGTTCTCTATGTTACTGTTCATTTTTCGTGCTGATTTTATGTTTACGTGTGCTTAAGAAAATTGTACAATAAAGTTGTAACTTCTGTATTCATGTATAACCGAAATACTCAAGTGTTTAACCTCAAACGGTCCAAAGTACCAGAAGATTTCGAGCCTTTTTTTGTTTACAAAACATAAAGATTGTGGTTTCTCTTCATTATTTCTTTCGTGTGACGACATAATCAAAGTATGTTAAACAAGATTGATTAATGACAAAACGGAAGAGATGTTTTTCGTTCACGGCAGAGGAAATGATGCGTATCTAATTGTTTTAGAATAGATGCTGAGAACAAATGTCAGTGCTGGAGGTGCAAATTGGGAATTGCTGTAAATTCCAATATTGATTTTCAGCAGAACAAACATTAAGGAGAAATGATCACTTACCTCTGAACTGGACACGCACTCGACACAGTCACATCGTATCTGGTGTGGTCTGGGAATGGTGACCTACACAGAACAACAACACAATTAACGGTGAATCATCACAGCTACCTTCCACATCCTGATTCAATATTAAAGTAAACACTCTTCTTAAAAGCCTTGCTTTTATGACATCATTTTTGCATTCGCATTGAGAGTAATCACCTTCCGCTGGACGAGGAGCTTGATGATCTCGTAGTTGTTGGTGTGAGCAGCGAGCATGATGGGAGTTATGTCCGGGGTGAACTCTGAAAACTGACTGTCCATCATCAGCGAGGGAACCTAAAGAAAAACACGTCTTTTTTATGACATTACACGTATCATATGAAAAGTTGACCACAATGAAAGACTGATATCTAATGTTAAATAACTTGTATTGTGCAGTGTAAAAAGCCATGATTTCAGTTCTACATGTGCCGCTGTTACGTAAAAAGGGCAAAAGACAAATTAGCCAAATGATGAATCAAATTAAACTCACTTGAATCTGATTAAAACAAATTAAATGTGTGTAATGCATTGGACAAGAGAAGTCTCCTGCTGCAGAGGTACATTTATTTAAAGCCACATCCTCTCCAGAGCTCATTATATTCCTCAGTGACGCGACTCTGAACACCTGCTGTCATCTGAGAGGAACTGAGTGAAAGAGTGTTTCATTACCGAGTGACAACCAGGTGGTCTGGAGGTGTATGGTCAGATATGAATAAGAGACTTAATAAAAGGTGGTTTTGCTGGTTTGAGTCCAGAAGACCTGAACATTCTGAAAGCCATGTTGCTGTATTCTAGATATGTGGATCCAGAAGGAAACAGGTAGCCTGGTTCTGTCCACACAATCTACCAACCAGCACCTCTGATTAACATGTTGTCTCTCGTTTGTTTGATCCGGACAAAAAACGTGTTATATCCTGGAGTCTCTGCCGGTTGCCGGGCAACCTAACCATGACGATGAGACTGCCAGATGAATCCTGGACGAATGTTTTTGGAGGACGAGACGATTTCTGTCTCGAGTGTCGACATTCTGCAAGTTATCGGTGGATGAACTCCAAACCAAATACAAGGGATTGTAAAAGCAACATGAACAGCTGCTGTTGAATACAATACAATTCAACCATCATAATAATATTAATGATTTACTTTAACCTCCTCCAGTGAGCATTCACAAGCACAATGTACACATTAACTCAGTAGTTTTGTTGCCTAAACCTAACGAAGTTGTTTCCTGTGGAGACAGAAGTTTATTTTGAAAAGACCAAATGCATGTTAGGAAGGGAAATCGACACGAGTTGCTGGACCTTTCATATTCATTAAAAATGTGGAGTAACTTTTTCGTAAGATAGAACCTTTGTCTACGGGGACTAACAAATACAATTGGGCTCATTGGATCCACAAGAGTCTGGGCCTTCCAGGCAAATCCAAGACCGTTTAGGGATCCCAATATGCAGACATATTTAAAATACAATATTTTTTTAAATAACTAATTTATACTGCTTGGTTTTTGCCCAAAATTGCATGGCATTATCTTAAAGTCACATGTCTGTAAAGGGGGGAGTCTTTTCATTCATACATCTTGAAGTGAGAGGTCAAAGGACCCGTCCGAAAAAAACGTTTTTCGTTCTCCAAAATTGAGTTTTTAACTTCCTCAACCCGACCTGAAGCTAGCATGACGTGGATTCATTAGGTCGTCTATTCTCATATGTGCCTTCACTCTTCAGCTTGTGCTCGGTTTAACATCTGAAGTAAGTTTATTTATGTCAACAAGAGCTCGAGGACAACAAATAAATGTTTATATATTCGGCTTATGAATGCTCGACACGGGGACTTTAAAGCAGCGTGTTTCCAAATTGAGAATAAAGATGAAATTGTTCGTGCAAGTCGCAGAAACACCAGGCGTCTGAATCCTGTGAAACACACACACACACACACACACACACACACACACACACACACACATTACACTCAAAGACATCAGAAGAAGGAGTGAGAGGAGCAGACGTGAGGAGGAGGAACACATGTGGACTCTTTCATCTCTCAGAGGGAGAACCAAGCAGAGTGCTTCTCTTCGTCCTCCTTTAATCTCCTCCTCGGCTTTCGCTCCTTCCTTCTCTCCTTCCTTTTTCCTCATCTCACCTCCTGCTATCTTTGTTTTTCTTTCTCCCTCATCCTCTCATCCCTCCCTCCTCTTCTGCTCCTCCCTCTCTCTCACTTCTCTGCCAAAATCTTTTTTTTTTCCTTTTTTATTTTTTATTTTTCCTGCCGTGATAAGGAGTGTGAGAGCAGCTGCCACGGGATTAAAGGCACACACACACACACACACACACACACACACACACACACACACACACACAGGTAAACTACCTCTGTAGTTTGGGTGTGTTTTATAGATTTTTCATCTGAAAAGGAGAAGATGTTTCGACTGATTTTCATGCATCGAGATATTTCCGTCTCCTGCTGCTGGTGATGAGGACCGATCAGGATTCACTCCCACTAGCACTGACCCACATAAGAAATAAAAACACTGCAATATTTTCTGTTTTCTGCTTTTTGTTGCACAGTGCTTTCAGAGGTCTTCCTGAACATACATGTCTGCTCGGTCAGGACCAACTTTGTAACGTACAGGGTAGCCGAGCACATCAAACTGTGACGCTCTCTACGGTAGCAGGAAACACGGGGTTAATGTTGTCGATTCAAACAAAATAACTTGCTCAGGTTTAGGCAACAGAACCACGTATGTGGATGAAGAAAAACATCCCGGTTGGGTTTAAAATATCTACATAAACTAAGTTGGTGTGTTTTTGTATGCAGATTTTGCTGTAACTGCAGAAGAAAAATAAATCGATGAACAGTGAAACTACACAGGGTCTGTGTGTTATTTCATTTTCAACTGACTTTTGTGTTATTATTGATGTTTTGTTGAGTAAAAATCCAGAAAATCCAGATTAATATAATAATAAACTGCATGTAAACACACATGTTTAACACATCCACTGATAAAAGCACACGCAGATAAAAAAGAAAGAAAGATCCTCGACTCCAGCATCTCACACACACACACACACACACACACACACACACACACACACACAGTTAAATCTTTCACACATCAAAGGAAAGTGTCCTCATCGGCACCACTGTCTCTCTGTGCAACTCTCACTCCCTTCTTTCCTTATTCCTTCCCTCCATATCCTGCACTCTTTTCCTACTTTCATTTGGCCTCGCTTCAGTGTCGACATCTCTCTTTCTCTCTGTTTTCTCCCTCCATCCTTCATGCAACTCTCCCTCTCTTTTGATTTTTGTACACTCTTCCTTCCTCCCTCCCTCCCTCCCTCCCTCCCTCCATTCCTTGTGTTGCTGCCTCATCCCTTTCATATCTAGTGCGCTGGTGATGTAGAGTGCTGCGGTAGTTATTTGGTGGAGAAGGAGAGCGACGAATAGAGAGGGGGGAGAAGGGAGCGAGGAGAGATGAAAAAGGGGGAGCGAGGGAGGAGGATGCAGAGGGAGAAAGAGAGAGAGAGAGAGAGAGAGGGGGAGTCAGATTGCGTCAGATGGAGAGGGAGACGGCAGGAAAGGTCAACAGTTTGTGATCACCAGGAGGAGATAAAAGGAGTCGACTCTACCTGTCGGCCGAGAATGAGGAGAAAACACACACGCACACACACGCACACACACACACACACACACACACACACACACGCACACACACACTTCTTAATATAGACATCTACATGCAAATAAACACACACTTGAACCCTGAGACCAACAGTCACGTGACAACAAATTGGTGAAACTGAACTGCTGCTGAACACGGAGCAGAGAGGAGAGGCTGTAAACATGAATAGCTTGATATACGCAGAACAGAGAAGCTTTCTTCCAGCATCGGTAACACTGATGACAACTTTGTGACGTGTTTATTAGTTACTGACTGTTTTGTCTTCTTGTCTTCTGCTTTGTAACTTTAGAGTTCAGAGCAAACTTCTTTCCCCTGATTATAGTATGAATTAATCTAATCTCCTGCTGCTCAGCTGTCAATCTCTCCAATCTTCAAATGCACTCACATTCAACCCTTAACATCTGTAGTTCATTGTTAAACAGCAGCTGCTCCATCATGCAAGAGATCTACACAACCAGGCTACTCGTCTGTAGTTGATTTTGGCGTCTGAAACACAACACATCAACAACAAAAACACATTTGTTCCCGTCTTCGTCCAACTGAGAGGCGACCAAAAAAATTAAATAAAAACTTCCCACAATCCTCTGCGTTCGGCCAAGGGTCTGTTGCCACAGCGATGCGGAACCTTGCAGCATCAGACCGTCCAGAAATTAATGCAGAAGAATAAATCTGATTCTCTTCAATTTAAAATGTTCCTCTCTCTCTCTCTCTCTGCTTTGATCTCTCTTGCTCTCCAGTGTCTCTCCCCCTCTTTGACCCCCCCCCCTTACACCTACACATTATCTGAACTGTGCAACATGTTCTTTTACTCTCTCTCTCACACACACACACACACACTCACACAAATGCTGCAGTGAGGCAGACAAACACACTGTCTCTGAATCCTATTTCACAGTGTGTCTATAAAACCAGCTGTTTAATTTGCATCTTCTCAGCAGAATGTGGAACACAGCGTAACAATGAACGGATGCTCTTCATCACGCGCCGCACACACCGATTGAAAAAACAACCCACACATACGCACATTTACAGACGAGTAAATGCAGACGCGTTCATGCGTGAATGTGTCTGGAGGAGACGGATCGACACACGTGCGCTCGTCCACGCACCTGTTTCTCGCCGCTGGGCCTCCTGTGCGACAGCAGCAGCTCCACGGCGCCCACCACCTCCTTCCTGATGGCGTACAGCAGGGCGTCGCCGGTGTGGATGCCGTGGTCGAGCAGGAGCTCCATGATCTCCAGGTTCTCGTTCTCGATGGCGATGAGGAGCGCGCTGCGGCCCAGCGGGTCCAGACAGTTCACGTCCATGTTGTAGTAGACCTCCGCCTCGCGGAGGGCGTGTTTGACCCCCGCATAGTCACCTGGAGGGGAGGGAGGGAGCACACAGGTAGTGTTTCAGTTTCCCACAGACTTGTTTTCTACCTTGAATACCTTCTACAGCGTTACCACGTGTTCCAATAGAAAAAAATACTAAAATATTTCAAGTTGGATCATCTTGGCAACGCTTTGTATTAAGGTCCTTGTAATAAGCAATAATTAAAAGTTTGAAATATCAAGAGACAGTTGTGATACTTTGCAGCACTGCTGCAGCGAGGACACCTGTGAACTGTTGGCTGCAGTCCGGCTGACCAGCTGCTGTTCAGATATCACACGGTGTCGACTCAGCATCATTTGGGAGGTGAGTGGAGCAGCAGAACGAAGGCGTGGCGGGAACTGTTATGTCGCTAACAGAGATGAATATGTACCTTTCTCCACAGCGGTGAGGTAGGCCCTCTCCTCTGCAGACAGCTCCACTTCCGCCCGCACGATCTGAAGCGGGATGCGGTCGCGGTACGGCGAGTACGTCGCCTAAACAAACACAAACAATGACAACACAAAAAACTTTAAAAAAGAGAGAATCACATCTGTAGAAATCCCAAAACGCTTCTAACTAAATCATTTCTGGGGGACCCTTCTAAACAATTATAGAGCCATAAAAAGGTAGCTTCTCTTTTTCAGTTATTTATTAAATGCTCATGTTTGAATGTACAAATGAGGCATTCTTCTATGACTGTGATCAGAGAGAGAATTGTTTTCAAGCCACAGATTGCCGTCCCCAGAGCCATGTGGCCGAAACTCTAAATATTTGAACAAAACTGCATTTGGGCTTAAACAGGCTTACAAGTCAAATATCATCAGCTGTTTGTTTGTTTGCAAAATTAAATTCTTTGTCATATCATATACTTTCATGCTGTGGTGGATACTTTACTTCATAAGTGGAGTCATCATCATCCATCATCGCGTTACAACGGGACGAGACACAAGACTGTTGTTGAAAATATGAATTTGGTGTTGAAGTAACTATTAAGTCACAGTGAATAACATCAGAGGTGAGATGTGATACACTCATGGATGATTTTATTTATTTTTACTCCACACGGTGAAAACAGAAAGACGATAGAAAGACTTTTTGTCCTATGTGTGTGTGTGTTTTTCTTGCAGATCTATCTTTGTGGGCACCATTCCATCTTTTACTGCTAAGTGAGGACATCTGGTCCTTACATTGTCAAAGGTCTGTTAAAGCGTTAACACTTGGCTTTAAGGTTTTGGATCTGCCTGAAGGGACGTAATGAAGTGCGACTGTGTCTGTGTTTGACTCACCTTCTTGTAGTACAACTGTGTCATGGGATTCATCGGGCCGGTCTGGAACAAAGACAGGAAGAAGTGAGAGTTACTAAGGAACAACAGGGCGAGGAATATCAACAGCAGTCCAATAAGTAGAAGTGAATGAAAACTGTAAACTGTTGACACTGTGTTCTGTGGATTATGCAGAGTAACTTGTACATTGTTCCTGGAGTGCACAAACAAACAAACAAACTCCAGCTGGTAGAAATCCCAGCAGCAGATATCCCAAATCACAGCAGATGAAAGCTCAAGAGTCCGCCTGGCATTGAACAGTCAACTAGAAAGTGAGCTGTCAACCTCTTTGTCTCAGCATGATTACATAGAAATAACATAAACAACAATGCATTCTCACCCAAACGTGAGTGTGCAGGTTAAAATAACTATTCCAGACAACTTAAAATAAGTTAAAGACCTAAAACTGAATATTTTACTCAGCTACAGATCGGGGAAAACACCCAGCTTCATTTAATTATTTTTGAAGACTTTGCAGAGAACCGGCAGCCAGCAGAGATAAAACCGTCCAACCTGAGACTCAACCGACACACAGAGACAGTGATGGACGTGCCGGCAGTTGAAGCAGTGCAGATTAGTGCCTCGACATACATTTAGCTCAATAACCAGCATACAGACCATTAATAAGCCACGTCCCACCGTATTAGCGGCTCCAGTCTTCTAAATAGATGTAATCCCCATGAACCACTGCCTCCCGGAGAACGTGTAGAAGCTCTGCTTGTTTGCACATTGTTTGTTTATTTGTGTAGGTTTTCATCAGGTTGACTTATTGCACCGTAATTGCCCCACATTTGTTTACTTTAGGAGCGAGAGCTGATACATTTTGATTGCTTCACATTTTCCTACGCAGTGTGGGATTCATTTCCAAGCAGTGGGGAGCTGTCAAAATAAACGCAGAGGCAAAAAAATATAATACGTGTGTGCATGTGTGTGTCGGTGAGAAAGAGCTAATTACTGCAACTGTTGGTTTGAATACCGAATACTTAAAAACACTTCGCACCGAGGTTACCAACACCTTCAAGAAGCTAAAGAAGTAAATAAAGCAGAACCAAAACAAACCCCACTCTTATGAAGCCTGATGATTCAAATATTAAAGTCATCGATATAGAATATGAAACAGTTTATAAATTGTCACAACAATATTTGCATCGATAGAAAGGTTCCTGAGACGCCAAAGGGTTTGAATTCTCTTACTCGTTGCTGCAACCTACCTGCAACATTTTAAAGCAGAGGCGACCGGCCAACGCTGAAATAAGGAGCGGCTCTACGAACATCGGACAAAAATGATTAGACAAATTATTCACGAGACATAACCTTCAGCCAATGTCACATTTAATAATATCACTTTGTTATAAAGTGGTTAAACTAATGATGAGAGGAGCTGCATCAGGATCTGTCCATCTCAGCACAAGATTATGAACCCTGACAAACTTGGAATCCTATCGCTGTCCATCACAAATGTGTCTGTGGATCTAACTGTTCTGAGTCGTCTGGCAGGAATATATCACAAATCACACCGCTGTTCTTAAGAGAGAGAGCCAGGTCTCCTGCTGCTCTTTTGCAGTCAAAGGACCTTTAACGAAGCTGAAAAGAAAAACAAGTCCTCAGTGCTGACTCACTGCCCCGAGCTCAAGTGTTGTTGGTATTTAAAAGCAAAGTCCTAGTCAGGAACTCTAAACCTTTAAGGCCACAAACACACTGCGGCTAAACACACTTGTGGCTCTTCGTCCTGTGAAGTTCAAACACAGTTCGCTGGTGAAGAAGAAGAAGGACAGATAGATACGGCTCCCGAGTCCTGAATCTGAGTCAGCTGCGTGACAGAAATCCTCTGAATCCGGTTATCAGTGCTGGCAGCAGAGAGCGGAGGGCTGCCGTGGTCAGGAACGGACGATTTATAGGTCTGAGAGTGATGCACATGCTTTTGCTCCGCTGACATCGTCGTCGCCTCCGAGTATTGTGTTTGTGAGGAGGACAAGAAAGACGTCTCCGCTGTCAGCCGACCCTTTTATCAACAGCTGACAGATAAATGAATGCCTCCAGTTACCAGCTCTTTCAAGAGGACGGAAAATACAGACTCGCCCGGCAGTTTCCAAGCTGCTTCATGAAGAGTAGATGTTAGAGCGGGATATTTAAAGTCACGGCGGGACTGACAGTCATTCCCCAGAACACAGAGTGTGTGTTTGTTCTCTCTATGTGATGCTCTCATTTATTTCAGCAATAACGAGGCTGATTAAACTCTATTAGCCGCAGAGGAAGAGGAGGCGGGAGAAGACGCCGTGACCTCAGCATCTTGTATGTGTCTGACCTTCTTGTAATGAGCTGCAGTCTGCCTTTTTAATTTAGATGATTTATTTGCAGTGAATGAATTCACATCCAGGGTGATCTTCAGTGACCAGGAGTGACTGGAGACTGAGCTGAGCTGAGCTGGGTTTAACTGAACCAGACAAGATTAGACTGAACAATACAAACTGGAAATGACTTGAATGTATTATTTCATCTAAGAAAGTAGGACCAGAGAGGTGGTATCATCAGATCACTATGCTGTTTTACTGTCTTGTCTTTTGATTTTAAAAGTGCTCTATCAATACATTTGATCGGAGGACAAAGAGAAGACTGCCGTGATGCCAAAACTGCTTATTTCAGAGGAAGATTTCACGTATTCTGGAAGATTTAAAACATCAGAATTCAACTAAGAAAGAAACACTGAATACAATACACTTCTTCACTTTATGTGTGTGTTTGTTTGTTGTTGTGATTTGATCATAATGTGGCATTTAAAATCAATGTCACAATGACAATCAATGTATTCAGTACTCAAGACAATAAAGCTGAATATTTGTCCTTTTAACATAAATGATTTTAATTCAATGACGACAGTAAACGGATACATAGAAAGGAAACTCATAGAACAAAGTTTATTGTATTTTACTCTGATTTGTTTCTATTTAGGCATTCAACTGTAACATACCCATTGAACTAAATGAGTGAGATTAAACAGCGACAGCAGCAGCATTGTTGAAGATAAGATGAAAACACTACAGATTGTGTTTTCATCTTATCTGCTGAATGCTCCGCTGTCTCCACCAGCCAGTCTCCAGCTGAGTCTCGTTTCACAGCTACTTCTTCTTCTAAAGTTGTGGCCGGAAAGAAAAACAATGAGCTGAAACTCACGACGAAGCCCCGAAAAGCCGAGAGGAGTTCCAGATTCAACCACCTTTCACATTGTCGCTTTGATTTTGAAAATAATATTGATTATATCTGATTTGTCTTTGCCTAAACCAGCATGAAGTCACAAGACCAGCTGATTTAAATCTGCATTTCATCATCTGTCATTACAATTGAGTTACATCTTCTAACAAAAGGAAAAACATGTTGTTGTAAGTAATTCTTCAAACATGTTTCATATTTATTTGCCACATGATTTTTATGCTTAAGTCGTGTGCCTCGCAGGCTATTTATGCATGTTATCTGTTAGAGACTGCAGCTAAACAGAGCAGCTGAACATTAGCATGCATCTCTGTATCGACCTTTAGCTCCAGGAGGTCACAGCGTGCTGGCAGGTTAATCCAGATCTCACCAAAACCTTCTTTTTTACCACCGCGGAGCGAGTCCCTGCTGAGAGGACTCCTCGGTTACACCAGATGCAGACCGAAACGCTGCGGTGAGCCTTCTGCTAATTGAGGTTTTTTTAAAGAACGCAGTGAGAAACTCACACCGACCCGCTGAGTGTGCTGCAGATAGAACAGCACTATGATGTAGTGCTTCCTGTTACCTAAAGTTAAATCCAGCGGTGCTTTGGCTCAGGCCGACCTCGAGGTTCTGCATTTTGCCGTCATAATAAACGCACTTTCCTCAAACCCTCCACATGATGACTTTTCTTATTTACGCTGCACAGAAGTGATCGGGATCTGCTAACGCCTGCAGATTACGCTGCCGACGCCTAAATTATGTGGATGAGATTAAATTATGTGCGGGAGATTAATCCCGCAGTGCCGGGGAGCCGGGATGCAGATGCGTCTGAGATCTGCACGGCGAGGGAGAATTAATGCTGACGGCTTCACAACGCTCCACTGACTGTGTTTCGTACAGCAATGCAGATAAACTCGGCTCCTGTCTCGCTCCCTCTCGCCTTTCTTCCACAAGTTTTTCACAATCCCACATCCATCAGAAGTGATGGTCCCTCCCGCTGTGTCTCTCCAGCCTGAACCCTTTCTCTGTCTCTACCTCTCCTGATCTCCCCTCATCTCTCTGTTACACCTGCAGTTTGTGTACGCAGCGATTTGTTTCCCCTCATCTTATCTTTCCTCTTCAGAAGTCCCTCATCCTTCACTCTCTGCAGCTTTCACATGTTCTGCTCTATTTTCTGTCTCTTGCTTCCACCCTTGAGAAGAAGAAAAAACAACTACTTCCATCCTGAAGTCGCTTCTTTTTATAATTCTTATCTCTCCTCTCTTTCCGTCTCATTGCCTCCTCCTCGGCTCCGACTCCCCTCGTCTGCGCCTCTTCTCTCCGGCTCCTGCATCTTTTAAACACTGGTGTTTGTTTACAGTCAGTATCCCAACCTAGCATAGTTTTCCATCATGTGATGAGTCATCTAAGGCTCATGTTGTAGCACACATGTTGAGTTACAGTAGCCATGAAGTTGCTGATGATAATATGCTGACTATTACTGCTCTGTTGGGAGTCAGAGCTTGGAGACTGGGCAGTGACGAACGCTGATGTGGCGCGCCATAACTCTGTAACGATGCTGCTCGTTGCCAGCAGCGCGGCACACAAACAGACGAACAATAGTGGCACGACAAGCCGTTCGCTGTGAACTCCAGAGAGCGGCCTGCTGCCACCCGCCAGCCATTGTTATCTCTAAACAGAGCCTCCGAGAGGCTGACAAACGGTCCACTTCCTGCCTGACGTGTGGGAGCGACGACCTTCAGACACGCTTCAGACAAATATGGGAGAAGCTGAGCACCGTGGGGAACAGCTTTCATGTGATGTTAGCAAGGTGCCGGGATTCTAAACTGTCCTGTAAATGAGCCTCACTGTGCAGCAGCACGACCGCAATGGAAGAAAATAACGACCAAAAAGAGACACAAAACCAACACAAAGAGATTCAAAACCACTTTAAAGAGTTGTAAAGCCAAAAGATTACCAAAAAGAGACGCAAAGTGACCATTAAAGAGATGCAAAACCACTACAAAGAGGGAAGCAAATCCACCAAAGAGTGATGCAAAACAACTATAAAGAGATGTAACACAACCAAATGTATGTCCCTTCTAATCTGTGGCTCTTATTCTGATGTCGGAGGGGGGGGTGAGAGATTTTTAAGTATTAAAATGTGAGTTTGAAGAACTCTCTCCGTTTTTATTATCATTATCATTTACAAACTATTACATTCAAAGGGCAGCGACAGAAGTGATTGGTTGGTCGACAGCAGCAGCTCCAGGAGCGGTGTTCATTAAAATGCTGCTCAAATGTCAGATTCCACATCGTTAGGGCGATCCAGTTAGAAACCAAAGGATGCCTCGTGCAGCTGCAGACAGAGAAGACTCGCTGCTGCAGGAGGAGATTGTGTGATACTCGTTCCACACTTTGACGGACTCGTCCCCGAGTCACTCGATGAAGCCTCCTGCTGCTCTGACTTCCTGCCAAACTCCCCTCAGATCCTCCGACTCTGTTCTTTAAGCCCGACCTGAATCCAGGAACCACAGCGACGATCCTCATCCTCAGCCAGAGGGAAGACTTTCTCCTTTTCTTATTCCTGTTTTGTTCATTTGTATGAAAGTACATCACTTGTGTACTTAAATCAAGCTTGGGTATCAGCAGCAGACATTGTATATATATATATATATATATCTGAGGGCCAAACAGCAGCAGGAAACAGAGGAATAAGCAGAAAGTGTCCCTTCGTCTTCAACCACTCAGCAATAAAGCTGCAGGTCTAATGAGAGAAAGTGCTGCGAGCAGAACTTAAGAGCCAAGTTTACTGCCTGTTATTATATGTGGGTGGTTCTCTCTCTCTCTTCCTCTGTTAACACGTCCTCCTCAACTCTCCATCGTCTTTCTCTTCTTCTACTGTTTCTTTCTTCTCACCTCTCTGACCACTTTGACCTTTCTCTCTCTCTGCTCTCAGTCTGAACACGCTTCATCTCTTTCCGTCCGCGTTGTGCGTCTTCTGCGATAATGAAGCTGAAACGTGTTCATAAATGCACACGTGACTCTTTGGACAGATGTTTTCCCCTGAGTCCACAACCGAATACATCCTTCAGTTCCTTCCATTCAGAACGACGCTAAAACGTTCCCGTCTTTCAAAATCAAACATTAAATTGAGTTGAAAAGATGAAACTCAATAGCTGAAATTATCCGGTCGTACATGTCGTCTCTCAACTCCATCTCAAATCTCTCAACCGAAGATCTCCATCCGACTGTGAACAGCGAGCAGCGCACTGAGACCGGAACCCCAGAAATATGTCCTCTCGTCTCAAGAGGCTTCTCATCGTACCATCAATGGGTTCAGAGGTCGTCCTACAGCAGGCTGGGTAGAGATTATGTGTGAAATTAGGAGCCGTACTTCGTAGGTATCCCATGACATCTCTTCGTATGTAAGCCACGTAATCGTGAACCAGGAAGTACAAAGACGGTACAACTAAGCATTTCATAATCTTTCTCAATGAACGCTGCCGACACTTCTCTCCTCTTATATTTCTGACTCTCTTCAGTCCGTTTAGCTCAGCCGCCAGTAGATGTTTCAGATAACAAATCAGTGGACGAAGGACACGAGTGAGTGTTTTTTTGCGCTGAAGTGAAAGTCTTCTTCTGCTTCTGTGTTTAGAGAGAAACGGGCTTTAAAAAGACTTGACTTCTCTTCTCCACCCTCCATCCTTCTGCTTCTCGTCTCCTCATTTACTTCCCTCTCTCTATCTCCCTCTCCCTCTCCCTCAGGAACATTCCATCTTTCCCCCTAAACATCTCTCTTCCTCGTCCTCCGCTACACTTCCATCCAGCCCTTCATCCATCCCTGCGATGTTGCTTCAGCCATTCATCTCTCCCTCTTTACCTCAACTCCATCACTCCCGGTGCCCTCTGGTAGTTTTTCTCCAGCTGTCTCGCTCCATCGCTCCTGCACTCCATCAACCTTCACCTCTCTCCGTCTTTTACTCCCACTTTCTCTCTCTCTCTCTCTCTCATGCTGAAGTCTGATACGTTCCCCTGTTACAGTTGCTAAATCCATCTGTCTCGCTTTTTTCTCTCTAGCTCATTTATTGCTGTTTTCTCTTTATCTCCATCCTTATCTTGCATTCTTCTCATCACCTCAACCGTCTCCCCCTTCCTCTCTTTCTCCCCCTCTCTTCTCCCTCAGGAACACCTGTCTTCCTCACCTCCATCTCGCCCTTTTCATCCCGTCCATAAATAGATGTTTACATAAAAGAGAGAGACGCAATCAAAGCAAAATCTACTGACTTATCTTCTCATCAGGGGATCGTAAAGAACTTTTATGAAATCTTCTTCTCTCCATGAAGTTACTAAATGTGGTTGAATGCTGTTTATTAAGTATTAACGTGCTCCAAAGGGGAAATCACAGTTTAATATATGGAGGCAAGCAGACTAACTGGAGTATAAAGATAATTAACCCTGTTGGAATGCAAAAACATCTCATTTTAAATGTTGTGTGAATGAATTGGGGAGTTTTCACACCAAAAAGCACCTCCTCGTTCATTTCAATGAGATAATGAGGCATCGACGACAAATAAATGATCACAAATGAATCAAAAATGATCAAAAATCAAAGATTTTAAGGTAAATTTCTGAATTTTTGAAAAAAACTCTGCAAGAAACCGTCTGATATGAAGTCGTGGTGTCTTTAGCTGCGACACACTTCCAGGTGAAACAGAATGTTTAGTCGGGGTGTTGTTGCGAGGCGCTGGTTTCCTGAACACAGAGGAACACAGACCTCTAGACGGTTAAATGAGGACGAGGACGTGAGGAGAATGAATACATCAGACCTCAGCCACGCTCTTTTGCGAGTATGAATAAACACTCTCTCTCTACCGGGGATCAACAATGAGGACGGCCTGATTACCACGTCAGGCTCGGTAATCTAACAGCTCACAGAAACCTGTCTTTCCTCTGAGGCTCATGATGGAAGTGTTTCCCTTGAGAAGCGACCGGGCCCTCGGGAGAAAATGGTCGGCGGGTAAAGACAGTTTATGAGCTTGAGTGCGAGCGAGCGTTTCCATCGTGCAGGACACAGAGGAGTCTGGCTGGGTGGCGTTTGATGACACAATCTGACGCAAGTTTTGAGAGCGAGGCGAGTAGAACGTTCTGTCTGTTCTTCAGAAGAGTGGATTGTCTTTTGTCCGATTCACCTCGATAAAGATTAACTCCAGTCTTTGTTTGTATTTAATAACCAATGATGAATGAAACAACGTGTAGAGGGGCAAGTAAATACCCTGCGATGATGCCACGACTGCAACAGTCAGTTTGAGATCTTTTTAATGATGAAGGGAGTGTTTACGTCACGAGACAAGATGGCCGCATGTCTGACCTATCAGCAGGACGGACCAGAACAAGGACAGTTTATTGTTCATTCAACTTTAGAGGCATCTAACCAGACGTGCGCACGTTCCAGCGGGCAACACGGGTATGATCCTTAAGGTCATCTTTCATTCTCCAGCTCCTATAATGTGAGTAGTTTCTGCTTCTCTGTTTCCTGTCAAAGGAAACTGAATATCTTATATTATATCTTATAAACTGAATATCTTATATTATATCTTATAAACTGAATATCTTATATTACATCTTATGAACTGAATATCTTATATTATATCTTATAAACTGAATATCTTATATTATATCTTATAAACTGAATATCTTATATTACATCTTATAAACTGAATATCTTATATTATATCTTATAAACTGAATATCTTCAGTGTTGGACTGTTAGTTGGACGAAACAAGCAACAGGAAATTGTCCCCGAGCTCTGGCAGAGACATTCGTAGCTGCAGCCGTAACATTTTGAAAAAGTACTGAAGCATTTTGACAACAAGCCGACGGGGAAGTAAACGTGTGGCTGCACTACGCTGCTAGAATAATTCAATTTGCTGCTCATCTCATGAACATTTTACTGAAACTGTGACAAATGTCTCAGAGCTCCAGAGTCAGGATGAAGCTCCCACGTATTGATCCTCAGCAGGTCCGATCACCCGACAGGGAGAGCAGATCCTCTCTCTAATGGGAGGAACTGGAAGATGGCAGATTAGAGGAGGACATATTGAAGGAGAGGAGGATGCAGAGGGAACATGAGAGGGGGAGAACGCTGGTGGAAAGAGAATGATAGTTTGTTTCTGGTCTGGAAAAGAGATTTAAAAAGGAGGAGGAGAAATGTAAAAGGAAGGATGAATGAAAATAAAGAGGAGTAAAGAAGAAGGGGAGGATTGGGATAGATAACTCTGCTCTGTTGTGTTCGAGGACCGTAGTGCTGCAGCTTTCATGAAAACGGGCCACAAAGAAAAAGGGCAAAGAGGATCTTAATTGGAATCTTAATTAGTGCCCCGAACAACCTCAACCCTGAGACGCAACCTCTCCGGCTCTGGAGGAGGATGGAGGAGGGCGGGGCTTCCCTGCGGCTGATGGAGGAGGTTTAAGGTGTCGCTGCGTCTCGAGCCGGGAGCTTTGGGGAAGGATTCAACATGCAAACAGGAAATCAGATCGTTACCGCTCTGCTGAGTGAGAATGTGCTCAGCGGAGCGTCCATTAGAGGCAGAACACACACGAGGCTGTTGGCTCCCCGTGATGATGATCAGTGTTCCCGTCTCACAGTCAGTCATGTTTTGGAGGATCTTATTCGTGGCGACGCGCAGTAGCGTCAGGCGGCAACGTCTGACTCAATACGTGCACTTCTTCTGGCTCCTACATCATGTCCCCGCACAACTCAACTAAACGTGTTTAAAGTTGTGAATTTAAACAAAACAAAAGTACCTTGTTAGCTTTAGTTAAAAACATCAACATTTTATTCTGTTATTATTTTAATTTGTTGTGTTTGTGCTGCGACAACATTCCAAGAAAACCTTTGTTGTTTAATTTGAACGTGTGTTTATGTTGATTTCCTGATTTGTGTAAAAATGAAAAATAAGTTAAAGTGAACATGTTTAGGCCGGTCACCAGCAGCATGACAGCCCCGTGTGTATTTTGAATCATTCAACACTCAAAACATTTCCGCTGAGTCATTAGAAACTCATTTGTGATTCTTCAAAAGCAAACGCACTCCACGACCAAATACGTTCCCCTCCAAACATAATGCATTGTGCCGTCTGAACGTGACTTCTAGGAGACATTGAGAATAAAACAGCTTGCTTTGCAGATATCATCTCGCTCATCTCATCATCGAAACAAATGCAACGTCAGCGACATGAAGAGCTTGTGTGTTTCCATCAGGTGCTCTTCCAGATATCAATGTGGGAGGAAACAGCTGAACGTCAGCTTCCCTTTTGACGAATGTTTGGTTGATTTGCAGGTCAAAGTATCAAGGTTTAAAACCGACAAAGCGGATCCTCCCACACCGAAACAGCTGAGGCTGATCGGAGGGTTGGTGGTTCGAAACCCGGCTCCCTCCGGTCTAGAACGGACTTGACTGAACTGAAAGCAGCTGATTCAGGTTATATACACACACACACAGAGCAGCAACAACATGGCGGACAACAGAGCAAGGACACACGTGCGATATCATCACAGACTAACTTCTAAATTCACAACCTTGGCCTGGCTGGAGCCGCAGAAGAAGAAAACGA